AATCAAATCGGTCTCGACGCAAACGCATCTCGAACCCTATTTAGCGAGCTATGATTCCCATGTACATTTTGGGCGCGACCGGATGTCCAGCCGTCGTTACGTAGCACGCCAATCGGCAGGCAACTGTTCAAAGATATCGCCAGCGTATGTAATGTGTGCGTTATTCCGCACGACCTTGATCCCCACGCAGCGCGCGCAGATCAGCGCGTGTAGAATAAGACCAATTCCATATAGCATTGCAAAACTAATGGGGAAGTTGTATCGTCGTCCAACTGCCTTGCGAGCGATTGAAACACTTGTGTAAATACTCTTTTATTAAATCCGTCATGCCAACTTGATAAAAATATTTAAATTAAGATGACCCCAAATTAATGAATATCACGTAACGAAGAATAAAGTATTTCTATTAAGTATTGCGTATTTTAATACACTTATTATTATCACATAAAAAAAATTATTAATTTTCAGACTGCCAGAATGTACAAGCTTAACTTTTATAGCATAATTTTGCAATTCAATAACATTCTAGGAACTTTATCATGCTAGTTTTTCATTTGAAGTACGACAATATTTCTTTTTAAGAAAGACACGGCTACACGCGAAAAAAAATATTACTTGTTAAAACATTTTTTTTCTTTCCTTGATAAGTGTGTTGATAAAAATTACCATTCGTCAATTATTTAACGTACGAATACAGGTTTTTGTAAAACTATAATAGCATTACATTTTACAATTTAGTGCCGCACTAATTTGGTCGCAAGAGAATGACAAAAATTCGAATTTATTTTGGTCATCCAGAAATGTTAAAAAATACTCGTTTCTTATCGTGTATATCTTATTTTAGGATAAGAAGTTTAGTCTGGGTTTTTTTATTTCAAATGAAACGCATCATACTAACGTTGCCAGGAGTTTTACAAGTAGATGAATACTATAATCGAAATGAATGAAATATCGTTATCAGAGTTTTTGTTATTAGTCGTCCACTTTTGAATAGCCTTTGCATTGACAAACTAACAATAGTAATCATGTTCAACCATATCAATGAATCAGAGTATCAAGTTGTGGTTTTATTTTAACATGGGTTTTTATTTCACTCTGGTACAAAAAATGTTTTTTCTTTACCTTTTTATGTTAACAATATCATGTCTATGTGAACATGAATGAATGTAAGAATTCAATTGAAAAACTAGTGTTACGTTTCTTGAACAAATCTAAAATCTTTCACGTTTTATAAAATGTTTTTCATGGCAATTGAGACTCATGTTGCCTGGCAATAAATTTTCTAGGATGGATGTCGCCGCATCCGCCGGTTATTATGTTCGCTCCCTTAATACATAGTGCATGCTTTACTATAGTTGTGAAGGTCAATAGTGTGTGTAGTTACAATGAGCAATATCGCGTCATTCTCATTGTACAGAAGAAATCGGTATTCACGCGTACTTATCGTTAGGAAAAAAAATATATTTGCAAGAGCGTTTTTTATGCGTTTTTTAATTAGGCACGGATGAAGATAAAACATTTTAATCTGATGGCAGCTACGGCACGGATTTGAACTAGGCTAAGCATCGATACGATCAGAATTGATCGCCGCAGTGGTGAATCCCCAACGACAAGGTTACATTCAAAGTTGTTCGCAGGCATTATGACTGCGCTGTTTTATTAAAAAAAGATTTAGTGGAGTCGAAATTAAAGTTTTTCCATCACGGCGTTTCCGAGAATCGTTCTAACGTTCTTCAAAATAAGATACCGTGTTTATTTAGCACACAAAAAGCCATGTAAGATTTTTTAAATAAATTTAAAATATGATGAAAATATGACAACGAGTTGTATAAAAAGTACAATTGTATGAATTGTATTTAAATTTTATGCTAATATCCTAGACCTAGACGATGTGCTAAGGCCACAAGAAATTCATGCGGTCAAAAATTAAAAATAGACCGTTCCGCGTTCGCGGCCTTTCTGAAACGGGCGTTGTATGTCGAAGTGTGTGTGTATGGGGGGAGTGGGGGGCGGAGGCAGACGGCGCGATGACATCACAGCCGCTGCAGCGCGGTGCGACAGCCAACTCTTGCGCAATCGCGCGCCCTTGATCTTGACTGCGTCGCGGCCGCACGCGTGCGTGTGCGCACACTACATTTAAATAGTATACTCGCGACTATATTTATCTTCTCGCATGGAGGCGCGAAACAGTAATCATAGAATATAAAACACATCTAGGTATCGACTTAGCCGCTTTGTTAAGCTAAATATAATATAGTGAAGTGTAATAAAACAATATTTTTTACTTTTTACGTATACTTTGTACCGCTTAAACACTCTCACCTATGTTCTCTCACTAACGTGAATAAGCAGAGGTGACAGATTTCCATTTGGCATTGTTCTTGCTAACTTCTAGCACAGAGGTGACCAACAAACGTGCCATTTTTCCAAATAAATGTTTAAATCATATATAATTTTGAATTATTAGGAACATTCCTTGCCGTAGGGATCATCCGTGTTCTTTCCACATAAATGCCCACTTCACATTTTTTTAAAGTACACAATGAATTCAGTGCAAATGTAATCAGTGACGTGCCCAAAATATTGTGTTCGCTATGCTCTAGCATGTTTTGCATTATTCTTTTTTTATTACGCAAACAGTCCTTTCAGCCATGTACTGTGATAATACAAATAATATCGCAAACTAATAAAAAGTGATAGATATGACCATGCAGACTTTATTGACAGTGACTCCTTACCATGTGTTATTAATTGTGCTAGACATTTAACAAATTATATATTTCGTTTTCAAATAAATATTACTACTGCGCAAAAAATATAGTTGCATACATAAATGCATTTCTTAATGCATTATTTGTAAAAAAACCTAATTTACACACACATTTTGAGCATTCACATATTTTATAGTCTCTTATCTATGAAACGGCGAAGTTTGAAGGTCAATGCATCAGTATTATTTTACATATGTGCATATATAGATAAGATCCATTGGCTAGCCGCTAGCCGAATCTAGAAGCAATAATTATAACGGCTCGTATTGGATTTTTGCGTTAAAAATATGACAAATGGCGCTAATCAATATTATAAGTGGTTAGGTAAGCAATTACCAGGAAGTAAGTACGCGTTGTATTGATAAGATGTGGCAGAATGTAATTTTTTTGTTCTATATTATGAAAAAAATGTAATGAAAAACGTAACAAAAATAATGTTTATAACACACGCTAACGTATCACTCAAGGATATGCCTATTGCCTACACACACATGAAGATACAGCGATCTGGCAAAAAAAACATATATCCATAACTGACGAATAATCGGATCATATTTGTTATTTATGTGTAATTTTATTTTAAAAGTAAGATATTTAAAGGTAAGCGAAGAACATAGATATGTCAACTATCAATTAGTAAACGCTTCTACTAAACATAGGGCCAAGCGGAAAAGTTTAACAATTAGATTTGATTATTTATCTAAATCAAATAGTGCTTATTAAAATCATAAACATATCACCAATCTGTACATATCTTTTCGTACATTCGATCTCGTCGACTGTTTTACATATTTTTGCGCTTTTATGTCTATTTAAAGTTAACAGAAATAGCCTAGGATGTTGAAACGTATAGACATCACGGTCGTAAGGAAATATGTAAAGCAATCTGAACACTGCATAAATAAAGTGAAGCGAATTAGAACTGAGTAGGAGTCGTGAGCCCACAACAACTGCACTATCTTATGATTCATGTATTTATTTTAGAATTTTGCCTCTGAGATTGCAGACTATCTAGGTATGTTTTATGACTTTATTAAAACGTTAACTGTTGCCCCCGACTACATCTGTTTCGGCAAAAAAAAAAAACTGAATTTTTATTTCGATGTTATAACTATCGGATGGTTAATGTATGTGTTTCGTGATGAATGTAGCTTAACAAACTAAGTACATTGCGTATGTTTAAAATTTAATACAGATCCGTTTAACTGATCCTTACCTGGCAACATCCCTAAATCCATTTAACATTCGCATGTCTAATTTTAAAAATAATATTTCTGAAGTAAAATAAAAACTATGTTAGACAAGGTTAGGAAACTAAATAAATAATGAACATATTAGAGTCGAATTCGAATCGTTTCTACGTTATGTTCACTTTTAACTTACTGAATTTATAATAAGAATTTATATTTACATGACAGGTTTTTTTTCTTTCAGCATAAATTTGTCGAATAATATATTATTATACACATAATCTTAAACTAATTCTGCTACTTGTAATGCATTTTTCCACTATACTTCGTAAAATCTTAGCGGAACACTTTAAAAATGGCAATATCTCCTAAACTTTAAAAGTTAGATTTTTGAAACATACACGACTTATAGCATATTTCATTAGCTTTTAAAGTATCAAGGCAGTTGTTACTTTGGGAAAAATTGGAATTTTAAAAGTGTACTAATAATTTTGATAGTGAGTATATTATGTCCTTCACTAAAATCAACATATAGTTTGCTTTTAAACTATTTGAGTTAATTAAAAAGTCTGGAGTGCAACGGAGTTCGATGTGCATGATAATTTTGTTAAAGTATTTGTTGTCTGGGAAATATTTATTTTAACTTTTATAACTATAGTGGCCACGGATATATAATACAACATTTAAAATAAATCACAAAGTAAAATCGCATTGAGTAACTTTATTTTATTGAATATATTTTAAATATTCTAATCGCGAATTCGCCAAGTATGGTTTAAATATTAATGAGCATATAAATGATTGCTCATTAATAGTAAATTTAAAGGAAGTTATAAACGAAAAAGTGTCAATTTTTTGCATTTCTGTATGTCTAAATAATTCTAGTTTTAGATGATTATGCGTGGACACATAAATGTTATGTGATCCCATAGTTAAATGATACTATTTAATTTGGCAATAGTTTATATTATATGTTGTTGTTATTGTTTATAGTAATAATAAATAAATAAATAATGAATTCGTATGTTGTTCTGTGCAGCGGCGGGAGCTAGCTCAGACATGGGAAGTGAGCACTATTGCCTGAGGTGGAACAATCATCAGAGCAACCTGCTGGGAGTATTCAGCCAGTTGCTGCACGACGAGAGCTTGGTGGACGTCACGCTCGCGTGTTCCGAAGGTGCCTCCATACGGGCTCATAAGGTTCGAAATTTTTTTTTTATTACTCTATCTTGAACGAACCTAATAGGTGCTTCAATTACAAGAACGGCGATCTGTCAATATTTAAGACCCTTTTTCACCAGCCCGGCTAGTCGCGCGACAGTTGTTTCTAAAGTTTCTATTATACAAAGTGACAGTCGCGTGCGGCCAGAGTATGCTAATGAATTAGTAGCCAATTTTTTTTTAGAAAAGATTTGGCGATTTCTTGTAACTCTACGGTAGAATGTTTGAGAAGCATTGTAATTGCTTAACATTTCACTAAACCGAATACTTTAAATCTTTAAAGAATTGTGTAGCTACGTATTCTTATATAAATGTGTACATCTTTACCTCTTTCTTATGTTTTTTAATATTTAATTATCTATAAATATTTATGAGCAACACCTTTAGTAATTTGAAACAGCTGTAAATGGTCTGTTACTTTAACATCTGTCTACAGCCAAGTCCTAGAGTTGATTAGTTGAAGAATTCATTATCTATTTGGTAAAAATAGAACTAAAAATCATTAAAAAATAGACATAAGTAAAAGGATTATATTGGGGAAGCTCAGTTGTGGTAATTAGATAAATAATATTTTTTATCGTTTATTTTATCGTTTAAAATGTTCGTAGTTACATAGTAATAAATCAATCGTCTTTATAAATAATAATAGTAAAATGATAAAGTAACTTTCTAGGTAGGTCTTAATTGTTGGTTGTTTGTCGAATTGGGGCATACGATGAAAAGCAAGCAATGCCATCCAATTAGTCTGATCTCAACTGAAAGAACAATGGAACGTTTCGTCATATTTTGAATGTTTCATTTATAAGCGGATCCAGATAATTACCAAAAATAAATCCCCAACTCTCTTAACCCGTATGAGTCTGGATTATTTTGTTATTCATATTACTTGCTAGCTTTTGCCCGCGACTCCGTCCGCGCGAAATTAAAAAATAATAATTAGTAGTCTATGGTTTCTTCCACAGTAACTTCTACATATATGCCAAATACAAAAGATCCATCAAGTTGTACTACAAATAGTTCCTTCTAAACAACCATTTATGTAAATTTCCCATTAGTAATATTAGTAGATACCGAAGTAAGATTTGTTTTTGGTCCCAGTGGTTGGTTATACGTGTTGCAAGACATGGCGTAGTATTGTAAAAAGATGTTGTGGCACTCACCAAATAGCTGCCCCCTTCTATGCCTGAAGGTGCCTGGTCACTCTGTCGATGTCAGTCCAGTCAAATAAATCACAAAAAGTCTTTAAGCGCCAGCGATGTATTGCTTCCAGTAGGCACTAAGTGCGCTATAGACGCGTCTTTGTCAAATTGAACGCGGAACCGTAAACTCTTAAACTATCCCTGTACGATATGAGCCGACATGTCCGATATTTCTTTCCGTCGACTACGTTTGGTCCGACTGACCGCCTTCCCCGCACAAGACCCTGCCGCCCCACGCCCGACCTCGGCAGTGAGGGATTTTAAACTACCCACCTGCGCGATGACAATAAAAATGAGTCGGCTTACCTACACTAATTCGCGTATACCGAGTTGCGAATTTCAAAACTATAGTTCCTCAAGGAAGATGACGATTCACAGTGCATCTGTACCAAACACCTGGAACGTCTATATTGTCACTTTTAAATCCTAAGTCTACAGAATTTACGTAACATTTTATCAAAATTTATTAAGATTTTATTTTCAAGAAAATAAAACGATTCAATAGTTGCACATTAGTCACACGATTGGACGATATTATTATCGTAACCTAGAAAATTTAAAAAACATCGAGTAATATCATGGCTTGTAGGAAATTGAATATCGTTAGACGTTAGATTATAAACGATTTCTTATTTAATACAGTTTTTAAAGGTCTATAAAGGTCTATAAACCGTGATTCGTTACGTTATCATTATTTTTTGTATTAACTCATTTCTATATTGATATTTCTTTTCTATTTGAAAGGCTGCAATTTTACGTTGTTATGTTCAATTGAGAAAGTTATGCTTCACTGGTTTGCCATTATAGAAAGGGTTGTGATATTTTCTAAAGCAACGGCCGCATGCTTTAACAATACGGACGACATACATCGATTAATTGTTTTTTTTTCGAAGAAGCTGACAAAAGCTATGCATGTTGGTGAGTTTAAATCTCAAACCTATAAACTGGTCGAAAGTTTCTTTGCGTTACTATACATTACCTGCGACTTAATTCGCATGGAAATTAAAAAAAAATCTAAATCGTTGTTAACTTCTCGTGTCATAAGATTGAGGCAGAGATATTCATATAGAGATATGTGAAGTGTATTCACATCATTTCATTTCATTGCGACTTCTACTATTGCCGTAATATTCATACAAAAAAAAATCCTTTCCTTTAGTCATAAAATTGGTATTTTTCGGCAGTGAAAACTATCACTAATATTGAATAGTTATACTGACACGCAGTCTAAACTAAATTAATAACTGAAATTCGCCGTAGAGCATTTGCTAAATCAGCGTAGCGTTTAAATTAATTGATTAACATAAACTTGAGTGAAATTAGTAGTGTAAAATTAAAGATTAACTAAATATAATTTCAGGTAGTACTGTCTGCGTGCTCATCGTACTTCCGATCGCTGTTTGTAGACCATCCGTCGCGTCATCCTATCGTGATCCTGAAGGACGTCGGCTTGGAGGAACTACGCACGCTCGTCGACTTCATGTACAAGGGCGAGGTCAACGTCCAGTACTGTCAACTGCCAGCTCTCCTTAAGACTGCCGAAAGCCTTCAGGTAATTATTGCCCACGTTTAAGCAATCACTTTTTTATCAGTCGGCAAACGAGCAGTACATGGCCTTATGTTAAGTAGATATCAACAATTGGTGATAGGTGATTGGTAATAGACTAAAGACAATATTTTATTATGTCGCCAGCGGCTCATATGAATCACTACTGTGAAGCTTAAGCCTATCATTACTTAGGGGATAATTAGTCAGCGCCCTTTTATTTTATACATTATCGTTTTCTTTCTAGCTGAATCCTACTATACGAAAAGCTTTTTTTTAAATAAGTTATCTTATTACTGTTTTAATCGTATTTTACTAGTTCTACTTTATATATTCGAAGTTAATACATGGTTGATCTTTTATTTCAGGTGAAAGGATTAGCTGAAATGACCACTTTAAGCGCAGCCGGCATCGACACGCGAAACGTGCAAGAACCGATGGAGGAGAGTCAACCCCAAGACATGCGAGAATGTACGGAACCGCATGAAAGGTTAGAGGACAGAGAAATACGAGAAAAAGAAGAGAGGCGGGAAGCCAAAGAATTGCGTGAAAGAGAATGCAAAGAAAGCCGTGACGGGAGGGAGATTCACACGAGGGACAGTAGAGAAGGACTGGGACGGGACTTACAAAGAGACAGAGAACAACGAGAACGTGAGCGTGAGCTAAGAGAACCACGTGATCTACGAGATTTAAGAGATTCAAGAGAATGTCGGGACTTACGAGAGTCCAGGGAAATACGGGATTCTCGAGAAAACCGTGAGCCACGTGATTTGAGGGATATACGTGATCCAAGGGATCTTCGGGAAGGGCGGGATCCGCGAGAAGGTCCAGATACGTCACCTCCTAGAATATCTCCTTTGCTATCGGTTCGTAGATTTAGGTCAGAAACATCAATCGAAGCGCCCACAGCAATACATCCGTCAATACCGAAAGACGAACCGCCGGACGAGCCAATACGTCCACCCTCTACCGAAGATGACACAATATCCATCCGATCGAATGGTGATAATATAGGTATGTTTACTATAGCCAAACCAAAAATATAACAAATCTGTCACGAGGGCGCCACAATCTGATATCGCCATCGATATTGCAACACTTCACAGCTATACGTCAAAACATCTAACGAACTAATGTCATATAAAATATAATGGGGCACTTTAGTACTATTTTCTTCACGCTTTAAATATTTTTCAACAAACTAACACCCCAAATTATTGCGAACAGAACAATTACACCCGATTACAATAAAATACTTTGACAACTTGATGACAGTCAAAATGTCAATGCCATGTATTGAATTTATATTTTTTTTCAAGTTGGTGCTGCCATTATAAGAAAGTTATGGCGTGGTTTTTCCTCTACATACCAAGGTTATTATTTTTTCTGGAAAAGTATAATAAATAAATGAATAGTCGTTTGTGCATTAAGTTTAAAATAAAAAACAAAAAGTCTTTCATGGGGAAAACCGGACAAAGTTTAAAACTTGACCTCACTGATACTTTAACTTCTGTCCGCTGCAGTGAGACAGTGACAATCTGACAGTGACAGATAACAGTTTGACAGTTCGTAGTTGTTGATTTCGTACAAGATATTCGTTTACCTTTTGGAATAATTTAATGTTTCTTAATATGTATTTTATTTTGACTAAACCAAAGTACGATTGCAAAATAATGATAAACGATATGAGTGACCTACGTTGCACATTTCTTTTAAAAAGTTTTATTAAAGAAATTGGTATAACTTAAATTCACCATGTAAGGATCAATGCACATATTTGAATATAAAAATCACGTTATTTATATAACGTTTTGTATGTAATATTCTATTCTATGTATTTCCAGGTATTAATATGACGATTAACAGTCACAGTAGCGGCAGCGTGCTTGGGCCACGCTATTCGCCAGTAGAGCAAAGACTGAGTGTTCTGAACGCCTTGCCACATCCTGGGCTTCCTCATCCCTCGCATGCATCGCTGCCAAGTCCAAGAAATGAACCTATTGCTGGTCCATCAGGGTTGCCGCCAGTTCAACAAGTACCACTAGTTAGTCTTCAAATTCTTTATATATGCTTACTTTTAAGTGGTCCAAGAATATAATTGTAAAAAACAAACAATTCAAGTTAATTCAGGCAATACAATCCTATGTTCACTAGTAATGCAATGCAAATGGTTGTAATAAAAATGAAACAATATTTTAATTTATTTTCAAAGATATATGCTAATAAAACAAAGAAATGGAGGGTAGGTAATTTTTACTACTGTAATGATTGTGTATCTTTTCCTGCAATTATTTCAATGTGGCTATACAATTTAATTCAATCTGTTGTATTATATTATCTCTTTTTGATCAATTTCAGTCGCTGAAAAAGGAAATAGATTGGGATCGGAGTAATGAAGACAAATTAGGTGAAGCATCAACGGATTACCGGATGCCACATGAAACGGTATGTAAATGCTTATGTGCATTGATGTTGTGGTATTGTAAATATTTATTTATGTATACAGTAATCACAATAAAAAAGACAAAAACATTTAGATCTTCAGATCAAAAGTTTTGTGATATTTTTTTTTCTTCAATCTACATTCTTATGTAACATGTATTTTTATTGTGATTACTTATGTATTTCTGTATATCTTGTAAGTTTGCATGCTGTATATTTTTAGTTAAATTTAGGCTTTAAATGGTTTAGGAAATTTAGGTCACATTGCATGTTTATTGTGAAATATTTGTTTTGAGCCCAGTATGGAAAGTATTTGATAAAATTGACATTTTGTAAGTCTTGAATTACAAACAATAATTTGAGCCATATTAAATGATGTTACAAAATTTCAACAAATATTAAAAAAGTAATATTATTGAATAAAACGCATTAATTTAAGAATCAAATTAATCATAAAGTGTTTTCAAAAAAATTCTAACACTATTGAAGACAAAAATGAAAATATCCGATAGTAATTTATGCCTAACTTATTTTGTTTTTTAACTTTTCTCTTGTTGAGAATTCAATGAGAGATTGCAAAATAAATTATCAGCCAGTTACTGGCAGATTCCATTGATTATTACCAATAATCATCAATTTACCATTGTTTTCTTTCTGGATTTAATCAAACATTAATTGTCAAGTGAACATATTTTATAATAATAGTACGATGTGGGTGTCGATGTGTATTTATTTTCCGTGTGCTTCGCCCGCGTTACAATGCATGCTTTTCGATGTGCCGCGCTAGATTTGACGATCGAGTACTATGCCTTGCTGTCAAGAAGTTGACCTTCATTTTGTTGGCCATCGTTTTTATATCCATTCATTTTGTTTGATATATATTTTGGGCAGTTTTATTTTATTTGATATTTGGCCATTGGTGCATACGTATGTACAGTGATTCAGTACGCGCGCGCGTTGCTAAACAACAAGGCTTTACGCGTAGCCGGATCCCGGGTCACTCCTGCACAGATATTGGGCAAAAATGAGCGTCAACTTCTTATTTAGATAGTAAAATCCTAAAAATATAACGAGACTGCATCTCAATTTAGAAAGTAGTGGTAGAGACATTGCACACCCTTTGGTCCGTTTACGAATCGAACCAGAGAAAAAGAAGTTGATGTTCTTTTTGTGGTTGCAGGAGTACGAAGGGTCCGGTAGGGGGCGAATCGATGAAGGGGAGAGAGGGTATCCTTGCATACACTGTGGCGCGGCGTTCCCTCACCAGAACAAATTGGCCAGGCACATATTGACTACGCATACATTGGAGTCGCTAAAGTATCGAGACGCGATACTGGGCAGACCTATGGGCTTACCGATGATCGGGCAGTTCAGTGAGCCCACGTACTTGACTATGCCCGCGGAGGAGACGCCCATCGACCTCGACATTGGCCCCGTGGAGCCGGGCAATGTGGTGCTTTGCAAGTTCTGCGGCAAGAGTTTTCCTGACGTGTCTTCCCTCATCGCGCATTTGCCGGTGCACACGGGAGACAGGCCGTTTAAATGTGAATTTTGCGGGAAAGCGTTTAAATTAAGGCATCACATGAAAGATCACTGTAGAGTGCATACAGGTAAGTCTCATTCAATATTTAAACAGTACTATTTTCTGAAATATTATTTCAGTTTGAAGATTTTACATTTATTAATTTTGTAATTTTAGGGGAACGGCCTTTTCGTTGTGTTTTATGCGGCAAGACATTTTCGAGATCGACGATTCTTAAGGCGCACGAGAAGACACATTATCCAAAATACGCTCGGAAGTTCCTCTCACCGAGTCCAGTGGACACGGAGGAGGAGAGTCCCCATCAATGAGTATCGGAGGGGAGGGCACAGGAGGCGAGTCCGCCGATTGTAGTTGTTACGGAAATAGTCAATGGTGAGAATCGATTGAACAAATGATGGACAATATGTTGTAAATTAGTTAAGAATGTGATTAAAACGCCGCAACTGTGATCTGAATGATATGAATAATATTTGATATTTCACTAATAGATAATTGACACACAAAGTTGTTGATTCTTCGTTTTAGTTAAAGGAGAGCGTTATTGGTTTTTTTTTCTTCTTTGCTTGTTTCATTTATAGTTTTGAATATTAGGTGCTTACTTTACGCATTAGATGATACATTGACTCAACAAATAATGAGTACCTTAGATGGCATAGCCAAAGTTAGGTAGAGAAGTAAAATTATTTTAAAAAGAGATTTAATGCAGTTTGCTTGTTTACGTTTACCGTACAGATTGACTAACATGTGTGCATCGCAATTGTAATTTTGTTAATTTTTAGTATGCAATTAAAATAGGCTTTCGAAATTAAAAAATAAATTGTAAAATATTGTCTTGGTTTAGAAGCGTCATTAAACTTTAGAGTCTTGCATATTTATTAGTACTTTCCTTCAGAAATGATTTACAAACGAAATTGAAGATTGATCGTGAGTGCTTTAATTATTGTTAGAATCTATACGAATATCGCACTCAATATATAGTTAGTGAATCGTTAACATTTAGGGATTTGAGGTTTTGAGTAATTTTATGTATTTCGATTTTATCGACGCACGCTCCCCTGAAGTAACAAAAGCAATATTACGACATATAAAATGTAAATACGATATAGTTTGATACATATTATCGGATTTTTAGGAAATTTATTAGATTATTACCGCTTCGTTAGCTCTGTAATTGAATAAATGGGGAGGGTTGTGGGATGTGTGATCATGGGAATCAAAGCTTTAAGCACCATTTCTGTTCTCTTAACTCTCTATGCCTTTTATTCCTATTCAATTACAAGATTTTACAAAATGTTTTACATTTTATTACAACACCCTATATAAGTATGACTTATTTTTGAGTAGGAAATTTAAAGGCATAGTGTCAGCATGCAAGTAATTGAAAATTTCTTGTCTATTTTGATACTGTGTAACCAGGTTCACTTGTTATTTTTGTAGAATGTTTCAAATGCTATATATCCATATCCATATAGTTATCGTAAAAATATCCATTTTTTTATACATTTATATGTTATGGTAAATGTCCTTTGTCTTGGTTCTGTAAAAATTCTTTACTGAAAATTACAATACATCATTGTCATCACTTTCCAATAATATTTACGTTTTTCTTTTTATATTATAAGGTGGCAAACGAGCGAGCGGCCACCTGAAATCGCTGAAATAGCGAAGTGGCCGTTGCCCATAGACATACGTAATTGCATATGCGTTGCCTACCTTTAGTCGACTGGGGAGAGGATGCACAGAAAGAAAATATCTTCCCTTTCCATGCATCATCTCATCCGGAAAGTCACTTTCACTTCCCATTCTTTCCTTATAAGAAGGAGGGTGTGAAGGGAAAGACAACTAAATTAGGCCTTCGGGACGCACACTCATCAGACTGTACGCGGAATTGCTTTAACTTCACGCCTGTCTCCTCTGTGGTCGTGGTATTTCACCGGGCGAGCCGGGCCAATTCGTGCGAAGATGTTAAAGCGGGATCTACCACTGATAAATTAATTCGTACTTTTAAAATGAGCAATAATTAAATTAAGCGATGAATATATCTGTTCGTATGCTATGAAATTTACCCTAACATATAAATTATTGTTTAGCCTTAACATATAGAAATACAGATAAGCATTTGAAACTTCACAAATACTGTGTTCAATAAATAAGACAGAGTTAAATACAGGGATATTGTATGAATGTTAATTTACTAGACACAAATTTAAGTTGAACTGTACTGTATATGGTCTTGAGATTTTAAAAAGTATCACTGGCCATAAGCAGTATTACATTTGACGTACAACCAATATTTACTTACTGAAGCTTTGATTTGGCATCGATAGTGGAATTGGCAAGATGGCGGCGCGTTCGGCTGACATTTTTGAGTGTGATAGAAGTGTTGCCAACACAAATTTGACTTTTAAGGCAAGATATTATATCAAAAATTGGTAATTCTTTTTCTGATTATTTCATTGACATTTACAAAATTTTTATTATTTTATATTTTTTTATTAAAAAAGTTATTTGAGTGGCTACAAGCATCTATATTAACCTTGGTAATGTTGGCAGCACTGCTTGACAGCGCAAAAAATAGAATTCAGTAATCCGTAACGCGGGGTTGCCATGTTGTGCGCTGTATTGCGTTGGGGTAATTTTTATAAATTGCTAAGGTAACTTTGTCTATAGAGTATATTTAGACATTTTAAAGATCCAATATCATTCAGCTGTGAAGTATTAAACGGTTCTTCCTAGTCTTTAGACATAATTGATGTTTTCATAATATTTATAGGAGACAACATATCATTTGATTATTTGATAGTGTTTTTAAAATTATTTTAAAACGTATAAGTGACGAAATTTTGTAAGCGCGGAAGTTACGGCTAAATTGATATTGGTGATGGGGTTTTTGAATAGATGTTTATAATTATAGAAAATAATTTCTGAATTTAATAATCAGTAAAAAGTATTATGGTAATTTAGAAAAATCTGTGATATATATTTTTTTAAATAAGTACCTACGCAACATCTGGGCGAGTATTTATCGATCTCAGATTGTGATTTGAAATTTTTAGGAAATTAAGGGTGAAGGATGTCGGTGTTATATGTTAAAATTATTTATTTAATAGTACAAATAGAAGCTGTACTTTGATTTGGCTATTGTACAAAATTTTTACAAAACTTTAGATTAATAAAATCGGGCTTCTATAGAAAAGCAGTAAATTAAATTAAAATGTGGATGCGCTGTTTCCCACAGATCTCATTTGTTTAAGATTTAGATTAAGTCAGTAGCGAAAAATTTCTTTTGAGTAAAAATAATTTTGAGTCGTGTCTCTTTTAATCCTTATGTTCAAAATTATACAAATGTCGTGTTTCGGATCGTCTGATATTAAGTTTTTTTTAGGTTTATTATAATTTCAAATTCCACCGATATCGTTAACTCTATCAAAATTAACCTCTTTGCTATTATATTAATGCTTTTATATGCAAAAGTCGGAGATACCTTAGCAATTTAGAAAAAAAGTTACATATGTTAAAAAAGGGTAGTTAAAATTAATCGCCGCGGTAGTTTTTAGACTATTCTTCCAATTGCACGTGGTAATTTAATTAGATTATAACAAGTGCAGTATTTATATGAAAGGTTTATATTTTCATTTCGTTTCATTGTTTACGGAGTTGACAGAGCACTTGACACCATGAAATAAATGTCTGTACAATCGTAAACATTCCATGCAGATAAAGGTCTATATTAAGCCACTGGTAATACAGATTTTTTATATAGTAACACTGATATTTAAGTGATTGCGAAGAATACAATTTTATATTTAATGTTCGTAGAACAAATTTTTTAATTGCAATAAAAATGATTTGTCAGAATAAATTTGTATCAAATATTTGGAGAATAGTTAGTAAATAGATTGGTAGATGCGCTACTTTCTGGAGTTAGTGTTTTATTAACGCGTTAGTGACAATGAGACGACTGTATCATTACGCGTAAGTCAGAAAGAGACACAACGGTTAGAAGCAATCTGCATAAGCACGGTACAAATAAATTTGAATCAATAAGCGTATGTAAGAAAGACACAATTGTTTGTGGATGTTTCTATTTGAAAAGCTGCACTGTTTTTATTTTCCGGCGCCGAACGTTACCAATCTTTATTAGCGATAACCTTTATTAATGTTCCTCTTCTTGTGTTAAGAAAGATTGAATATTTACAATTTACATAATAAAAATAATAGCAATAAAATAAATGAAAAATGAAGATGCGAATTAACAAATTTGTACGAAGTTTTTTATCGAAATAGTTTTTTATAATAGAGCAGAATGCAGTTTAAAAATATTTTGTTTCCTAAACATTCAGAGGTACTATTTATTGATTAAATAATAATAATATTGTTATAATTATATTTCTATGTATGAACATGTATATATTTATATGAAGGGAGGAGTTGTTAGTGAAATGTACTGAGACAAACACCAGCAATAGTGTTACATCAACCCTAAGTGCAGTTATTCAAATTTTAACATTTTTCTACTCGTTGCCACGTCCCTGCGAAGTTGACACGCCATTAGCACAAAAATAGATTTATCTATTAAAAAATAAATAAAATATATATATCAAATTATTGTAGATATATTTTTTTCAGATATCTACTGAGCATGATAAATTTTAAGGAAAAAAATTAGCACGAAATATTTGATGAGTTGAAATAGTTAAGACTTAGATTCGTTTTTATATCATAAATTGTGACCACAGTTTTATATTTAGAGTGCCTCTTGCCTGTACAAGACTTATATAAAGGCTGCAAATTCACGAAATATACATAGTTTACGTAGGGGATGATCTATTAGCAGCAAAAAATGCAATTTTATGGTGAAAATTGTAAGTTGCGTTATGATATGTGACTTGCTTCATTTTGGTGTTTAAATTGTTTTCCACCATTGTGTACGTCTTCTAATTTAAAAGTTGCGGCGCACCAAATCTGTTACGCTCACCACAAAAATACAACTCTAATGGCATGCAGTTTGTGTGAATGCTTTTGGTATTTTCAACAAGTTATAATACATTTGGTCTGATAAGGCAATGGGGCTGACATAGTTGGATTTTTCATCAATTAATTAAACGACTCCTTTGATTTAATGGAAAGGTGAGAATGGGGCGCGCAGTTTTAATTTTGTGGATCAGTATCGACAACCCGACGTTTCCAAATCAAATGCCTTTAGGCTCCTCCGCAGCTTGCGCATTCCAAACTTGACATGTAAAAGTGTGGTTAACAAACAAAACAGTTAACTTATTTTCATGACCAATAATAGGACAATAGACTTTTTATTTGTATAGTCTTAGATAGTATTGTTAAGTTTCACCCACGAGATGGCGCCGGGAGCCAGAACGCGAAAGCGAACACTGGTTCGTTGTGATTTTCTTACTATATTTTAAGTGGCATACCTAAATATAGAACTTATATTGCAATTTTTCTAAGTTCCTGTAGGTGTATTAATTATTGTATGTTGGTACAATTTGTTTATTAATTGTAATTTGTTTATTATAATTTATTTAGATTTAAACTTCCCGAACTATCATTCGTATCGGCATAATATACAATTTAGATCGCGTACGTCAAACATGTTGACAAATTATTTTCCATTGATTTCGTGAAATATTATTGTATGGATTAAAGAAGTGTTCTTATTTGTGTATTATGCTTTTTTTAAGATTCAGCACAAGTTCAAATAACGTAGGCCCACTTTTATTTATAGAGCTTAGCTACTATCCACTGCTGCAAAGGCGGTCATATTATTTCTCCTTAAGTTGTTTCATTTAACATTCGTTGTTGACATTTTAGATTAGATAAATCTGTTTTGCCTTAACATTATTAATAGTTCATAATGTTGTGACGGAGAGCGTTACGGTTTTGTTGAATGTTAGATGCAGTATATCAGATAACGATCGTGGATCAAATCAGTGTAAAGTTCGTCAATTGTGCAACAGTTTGTAAAGACCCATAGCTGTTGATCATTGTAACTTTTGAAACAAATATAAGCATATCATAGCTGTAAAAATACAATTTTGACAAATAAAAGCTCTACAATCATTACAGAAACGCGATTTTATTTACAAACCCACGCCAAGAACCCATCCGACAGAAATAGAGGTACGTATTTTTATTATTAATAAGTACATTGTATTGGTGTCAAATTAAATTTGTTTATTTATTTTTGATCGTATGTATCGTTGTGTAAAGTGTGGATAATTTCCAAAGATTTTCAAATTGCATGCATGTGACCATTAAAATGGATGTATTATTTCTTTAGCATTCATTTAAATAGCGATATATGCTGTAAAATTACATTAACTGTATAAATTGTTTTTATTAACTTATTTTATTATTACTTTTCAGATGTGTTTGGACATGACCTGCGGGTCCCCCAGTATTCCGAGCCCGATCCCGCCTCGGAGCCCGACGGCGCTGCCTCTGTGGTCGCCCCTGCTGGCGTTGCAGGCCTGCCGCCTGCGCCGCTACCTCAGCGACGACTGCATGGCGTACCAGAGCCGACACCTACTTCACGCTGAGCGGCGCCGTTGCGGCGTCTGCCTCGCCTCATTCCCCTCTGCCTGGCTGCTCGAGCGCCACGCCGCGCTGCAGCACGCATCGCAAACCGCCTGCGACGACAAGCCCTTCGTGTGCGAGCAGTGCGGCCAGAGCTACAGGTACAGGTCCGCGTACGTAAAGCATAGGGAGCAAAACCACCGAGCGCGGCTGCCCGCCGATAAGCTGTTCACATGCGACGTTTGCGGCATGCAGTTTCGATATCTGAAGTCGTTCAAAAAACATCGCCTCAACCATACTCTGGAAAGACTTCACACAAAAAACACGGAGCCCGTCGAGGGTATCGATCAGGTAACCAGCACCAACGAGGTCTTCGGTCGGTGCGGAGAAATGGATCTATCGATAAAGACGAGAAACCGACCCGAAGCGAACAGAACACCGCCCATCGAAGTGATCGGCGACGCCGAGCAAGACAGCACCGTCGACTCCAACGGGCCGACCGACTCCATCGTGACGGTCGACGACTCCACCGATTGCCGAAACTCGAGCGCAGAGAGCGAAAATAAAAGAGACGCCGATACGCCCGTGAGCGAGAGGAGACGCGTACCCGTGTCGTTCGCTAGCATCAGCTCGATGGCGGACAGCTCCGAGAGCGAGTCGCGTACGGACAGCAACAGGCTGGAGAGCTCAAGCTCCCACTCGGGCATTCTCGGCTTCCTGCAGAGCGACGACCGGCAGCGGGACCGAGAGCGGCGGTTCGCGTGCCCTTTCTGCGGCAAGTGCGTTCGCTCCAAGGAGAATCTGAAACTGCATGTGCGTAAGCATACAGGCGAAAGGCCGTTCGTGTGTCTGTTCTGCGGACGCGCGTTCGGCGGCAAGAGCGATCTGACTCGGCATCTGCGTATTCACACGGGCGAGCGGCCGTATCACTGTGAGGCGTGTGGCAAGTGCTTCGCGCGCGCCGACTACCTCTCGAAGCACCTCACCACGCACGTGCACAACGCCCGTTAACTCCTCTCTCCTCCCGCTAGCGCCGTCCCCTTTTCCATCTTTTCATACCTCTATAGTTAATGACCGAGTCATACTATTGTAACGGCAAATTTTAATATTTTTTGTAAAGAGTTTTTTAAAGTTTACTACATTATTGTGGATATATCTAAGAAGGTCTAATTAGAAGTCTACATAACTTTTTTATTTTCTAAGGTGATCGTATAGTTTATATAATAATTTTCGGATATTTATTTTATAGGAAATATATGAGAACGAGGATTTCGTTACCTCCTGATAAAATATGCACATGATTGTCAAATTATCATACAGCGATTCCATACGTTAAGTCAATGCTTTCTTGAAGACGGTTTGCTTTGTTGTTCTTTTTATTTAGGTTACGTAAAGCTTTTAATTTATTTAATATCTATAAATGATGAATTTGAGTTACCTTGCGTTTGTCTAAGACTTTGTTTGCGGCAATTTTATTTAATTAAATCGAGTCAGGGGCCCCGAGGATCACTGAACTTTTTGATAAGTTGTAAAGAAGTTAATTTGCCATATATTTGTTTGCACACATTACGTTATAATAAGATTGACAACTCATTCCATTGAAGGGAACCTAGGAAAATTGTAGTGGTGTCGATAGGTTAGTAGGAGAATGCAAAAAAGCTGTGATTCATACGATTAAGACCAGTCAAGAAGATTTAGAACATCGAAAAAAAAATGTTTTATGTAACGTAATTTTTAAATATTATTTAACGTTTAGATATAAATGAATAGTAGATTTAAGAAATCTCTCTGTGCCAAAACGCGTACCTCATAAAAATAAACACTTCATGTAGATAAACTAATGGTGTAGAATTGTTTGTTTTAGATTTCATTATTACAATAACAGTTGCAAAGTTCATCGAAGTTTGAAATATTTTTGATCCTTTTGATCGAAAGCTACAGTTAAATAGGTGTATAATTTCAGACAGTCAATCCTAATCCATATTGAAATGCCAACACTAGCTCGCGTCCGTTGCTCCGATATTTTTTAAATACTAATACTGCCATTGTTGTGATATTATTTGTATAACTGTAAATTGTGAGACACATTTTAAACGATAGTAGGAAGTCTTGTTTATCCAATTTGTCAATATATTTCATTGCAATATAATTTTCAGAGATTTTTTTTAAAGTGAACATTTTTTTTCTAAACAATATTTTTTTTAATAATTTAATAGCATTTTATTAGGAATCATTTTTATTGAGTATTATTTTGTAAAACGAAGACATACTCTATGTTACAATGTTCTCATAATTTACTTTTTAATATACATACATTAACAATAGAAATACTATACTTTATTGCAAAATATTTAAATGTCTCAAAGACAAATAAATTACAAGGTCAATTAAAGTAATATAAGATGAATTATTCTTATATGTAAATATGTAAGTTCATATAACGCGAGCTAGTGTTGTTCCGATTAATGTATTAAATACAATATTTATAACGATTTTTTATGAATAATACATTATATGAACACGTTTTAAAGCTACTTGGGAACAATATTTAAATGAAATAGTTTATTTTATAATTAACGATTTAAATTTTTAGCCGACTTCAAAAAGAAGGTTATCAATTCGTCCGTATTTTTTATATCATCAAAAAACTGAGACAGAAAAAAAAAATTGTTTCAAATTAATTTACAAATTTTCTCTGTTTTTTTATCCTCCAAGAGACTAATATTGATAAATAATCATATTAGTTTCGGTGATATTTATGTCTATGTCATGCTAAATAAATCAATCATTTTTCGGTTCTTCTTTCGTTCATTCCGATTTAAAAAATGAACGATGTATTAAAATTTCTTATCCGTCTAGTTCATTTAATAAATTGTTCCCAAGTTGTCTGTTTGTTATATTTCTGTGTCATTATATTGTCCATATTTTAGTAC